CTGCAAGAAAAAAAAGACAAAGAAAATGTTAAGTTATATCTGTCCTCCACCACGAGAAGACAAAAGACAAAAAAAAAAAGGAAAGACAGAACATTCAATGCAATGGCGTGATTCAATATGCAAATCCACCCTCCTCCCATACCCCCCCACCCTTGTCCCCCCCATCCCACCCCCCTCCTCCCTGCCCAAATCCGTGACATCACGACACGAATTATACTTCAGCATAATCACCATCGTTATCTCATCCCACGTCATCACAATCACTACAATCATCACAATCGTTACGAGAATTGTTATCATCCCAAAGACACGCCTTTCCCTCCCGACTCACGAATCACAAACAGCTGGGAGGAGGAAGAGGAGGAGGAGGAGGAGGAGGAGGAGGAGGAGGAGGAGGAGGAGGAGGAGGAGGAAGAGGAGGAGGAGGAGGAGGAGGAGGAGGAGGAGAAGGAGGAGGAGGAGAGGAGGAGGAGGCAGAGGAGGAGGAGAGGAGGAGGAAGAGGAGGGAGGAGGAGGGAAGTGGAGGGGAAGGAGGGAGAGATACTCGGGGGGAGAGGATAGAAGGGAACGGAAGGGGGTGGTTGGGGGGTGGAGGGAAAGTGGATGACAGAGAACCAAAAGAGGTCAAGGGGGTTAAGAGGGATTTTGAGAAGAGAAGGGGAGAGGAAAAACATGGGAGGGGGAGGGGGAGAGAGCATGGGGAAGGGAGAGGAGAGAGAGAATGGGGGGAGGGGGAGGGGAGAGAGCATGTAGGGAGAGGAAGAGCATGGGGAGGGGGGAGGGGGGAGAGAGCATGGGGAGGGGGGGAGAGAGGGAGAGAGAGCATGGGGAGGGGGATGGGGAAGAGAGCATTGTGGGGAGAGGAAGAGCATGGGGAGGGGGAGAGGGAGAGAGAGCATGGGGAGGGGGGAGGGGGAGAGAGCATGAGGGGGCGAGGAAGAGCATGGGGAGGGGGAGGGGGAGAGAGCATGGTGGGGAGAGGGAGAGAACATGGGGAGGGGGAGAGGGAGAGAGCATGGTAAAGAGAGGAAGAGAGCATGGGGGGAGAAGGAGAGAGTATGGGGAAGGGGAGAGGGAGAAGAGCATGGTAAAGAGAGGAAGAGAGCATGGGGGGAGAGGGAGAGAGTATGAGGGGAGAGAGAAAGCATGGAGGGGAGAAGAGATGGGAGATGGGAAAAGGAACGTAGAAGGAGGGGAGATGGAAAATTAAGGAAGATGAAGAATAAGATGAGGAGGGGGGGAGAGGGGAAGAAGGGGGGAGAGGAGGGAGGAGGGATAAAGGAGGGAGAAGAGACAAGAGAGATGGGGGCAGGGAAAGGAGAAAAGAAAGGTAAGGGGAAAGGGGGAAGAAAAGACGGAGAAGGGAGGGAGGAGGGGGGGTGCGAAACAATCAATAGAGTTACGTTTCTTGAACCACAAAAGCGGTTCTTGAAGTCCGTATCGGTTCCCCATCACACGGGGCGGTAAACGGTTTTCTTTTCTTTTCTTCTCCGTCTTCCTCTCTTTCTCTCTCTTCTTCTTCTTCTTTTTTCCTTTTCTTTTCCCCAGTCCTATTATCTACCCCGCCCCTCTAATTCTCCCTTCCCTCTTCCGGATTTATTTGCTTGCCCACTTTCGCTGCTCTCTCTTTTCCCCTTTCTTACTTTCCTTCTCCTCTCCCTTCTTTTGTATCTTTTCTTAATGTCTCTTTGCCATTCTTTTTTTCAATACAAATCCTCTTTGCTCTCTCTTCCTCCTCCTCCCTCCCCTCCCCTCCCCCTACCCCTCCTCCAACCGCACCTACCCTCCACCCTCCCTCCGACCTCACCTTCCCCCCTCCCCCCTCGTCCTCACCCCTCTTCCAACCCCATTTACCCACCCCCCCACCTCCTCTCCCCTCACCTTCCCCCCCTCCCCCCACCGCTTCATTCGCCTCTTGACTGCTCTCTTCGTCCTCTCTCTTCTGTGCAGCGGATCGCCAGCAAGCACAACGGAAGGATCGCCGGCCGCTCGCTCCTGCTTGTATGCATGCTGGCTCCGTGCAAAGACTGCTCTTAAGAGAGGGAGAAAGGGAGAGGGAGAGGGGGAGAGGGAGAAGGAAAGGGGGAGAGAGGGAGAGAGGAAGAGGGGGAGAGAGGAAGAGGGAGAAGGAGAGAGGGAGAGGGGGAGAGAGGGAGAGAGGAAGAGAGGAAGAGAGGAAGAGAGGGTGAGAGGGAGAGAGGAAGAGAGGAAGAGGGAGAAGGAGAGAGGAAGAGGAAGAACAAGGAAGAGAGGAGGAAGGAGAGTCAGACAAAAAAAAAACAGACAGTGGAAACAGACAGAGGGACAGCGAGAGATATCGCAACGACCAACAGCGAAACAAAAACAAACCTAATACCCACCCATGGTATTAATAACACTAATGAAATCAATTCTGGCACTGGAACTAATTAACGCCAGACAAGCCCACCGCCACACACACATAACACATCCGCTGCACCGACAAAAACACCCCATCGAGGCCAGGGCGTGTATGACTCACAATGCAATGATCATTACTGCTACTGCCATTACTCGCTGCCAGGAGAACAAATATCTTAACAACGACAGCAACAACAATAAATCACAGCAACATTTGATAAACAATAAACAACAAAAGCACACAGGGACATCAATACCGTGAATCACGAAACAAAAACAATGACTGCATAAACAAAAGAAACAAAATAGCACTGGTCATAGTAAACCATGCAACGTGGGGCATTGCATGGTATACCCAGGTAGATATGTGTGTTGTGGGGGGGAGGGGGGAGGAAGAGGAGGAGGAGGAGGAACGCCCGAGTGTTCCTGAGGCCACAGTTCTTCCCCGTCATGCGCGGCGCTGCTACCGGGCCTCGTCAACGACCGGGATCCACAAGCAATTTGGATCTACGAACGCTCGGGCTTTTTCGGGCTCCACCAACGGCTGGGATTCGACACCGACCGGGATTCGTGCAGTATCGTTCCGAGATTCATCAGCGACCGGGATCTACGAATTACCGAGATTCGCTAATGACCGGAGGGGTGGAGAGGGGAGGGAATGGGGAGGGGAGGGGAAGGGAGAGTGGGGAATGGGGAGGGGAGGGGAGGGGAGGGGTGGGGAAGGATGGATGGATGGATAGATAGTTAGTTAGTTAGATAGACGGACGGACTCTCGGACAGACAGACAGACAGACAGATATCTAACCAGCTAGGACGCATCCGAGAAAATGGAACCCGACAACGAACCGAAAGAGAGAAAAAACAAAGAAGAATCAAGGAGAAGCAAGTAAAAAAAAACGAGAAACAGAATGAGGAAATATCAAATAACAGCCGCTGAAAAGCTATCGAGCCCACGCAAGCCACGGGGTCCACTGGGTGCGGAGTCGTGGGCGAGCGCAGTACACGGAAATGTGTGCTCGGGGAAGCTGGCGCGCGAGCGAAAGAGAGGAAGAGAAAAGAGAGAGAGAGAGAGAGAGAGAGGAAGAGAAGAGAGAGAGAGAGAGGGCGAGCAAGAGGAAGAAAAATATAGAGAGATAGACAGATAGAATGAGAAACAGATAGACAGAGAGAAAGAATGAAGGAGTGAGAGAAAGAATGAGAAAGAGAGAGAGAAAAAGAGTGAGTGAGTGAGTGAGAGAGAGAGAGAGAGAGAGAGAGAGAGAGAGAGAGAGAGAGAGAGAGAGAGAGAGAGAGAGAGAGAGAGAGAGAGAAAGAGGGGGGGGAGAGGGGGGAGAGGGAAAGGGAGAGGGAGAGGGGGAAGGAGAGGGAGAGAGGGAGAGGGGGAAGGAGAGGGAGAGAGGGAGAGGGGGAAGGAGAGGGAGAGAGGGAGAGGGAGGGAGGGAGGAGGGGTAAGGGAGATAAAACCGGATTCAACAGAGATAATTTCATTGGAAAGACGAAATGTTTCCGCCTATGTGGCGCCAAGAGGTTGCCAAAATTTCCTTACCCCTTCTTTTACCCTACTTTCTATTTCTCTCTCTTTTCTTTTTCTTTCCTTTTTTTTCCTTTTTCTTTCCACTCGTTTCTTCGACACTTTTTCCTTCTCTCTCCCTGCCTCCCTCCCTCCCTCTCTCTCACCTACTCCCACAAGACTCTCCCTTCCGCCACCAGCACAGAGCACCCTCACCCCCTCCCTCACCCCCACCCCCAACCCCACCCTCATCCCGTCAAACAAGCTTGTCAACCCATCAAATGTTTGCGAGCAGAACAGTCCTTGCCGGCGTACCAGCACTCTCGGGCGCTCGGTAAAGCAACAAGCAAGTAAAGCTAGAGGAGCAAGCAAAATAAACAGAGCAAGTAAAACAAATTAAACAAAGTAAAACAAAGTAAACAAAGCAAGTAAAACAAATTAAACAAAGTAAAACAAAGTAAACAAAGCAAGTAAAACAAATTAAACAGCAAATAAAAAGTAAACAAACAAGTAGAAAAGTAAACAAAGCAAGTAAAAAGAAGTAAACAAAGCAATCAAAACAAACTAAACAAAGCGAGTAAAACAAAGTAAACAACGCCAGTAAAACAAAGTAAACAGATCAAGTAAAGTAAACAAAGCAAGAAAAAAACAAATTAAACAAAGCAAGTAAAACAAAATAAACAAAGCAAGTAAAGCAAGCAAACAGAATTGCTTGGCGGGGCTGGAGGGTGAAACAGTGCGAAAGGGCAGGTGGGGGGGGGGGGGGAGGAGGGAGATTTAATGCTACGATCCTCCAGCAGAGAAGCAAGAGGGCATGAAGTAGGCAAAGGAACAAGCAGAGAGAAAGGGATATATCCTAGGAGAAAAACAAGCAAGCAAGCGGATATACAGGCAGGGAAGTAAAAGGGAGAGTGAGCGGAAAGGCAGCAGGTTGACAGGCAAGCATGGGGGGGGGGGGATAAGCTCACCCAAAGAAGCTTATCCCCCCCCCCATTACGAAGGAAGGGAGAAAAGAAGAAAAGAAGGAAGGAAGGAAAGAAGAGAAGGAGAGAGGAGGAAGGAGAAAGAAAGGAGAGAGAGACGAGAGCGAGACAAGAAAGGAGAGAGAAGG